TGAACTACTCAAAATTTCCGCTACCGGTTCTTCAAACTACTCAAAATTTCCGCTACCGGTTCTTTGAACTACTCAAAATTTCCGCTACCGGTTCTTCAGAACCTGCTGGATTTCACCCCTGGGGCATTGCTCCTCTCCGTTTCTTAGCCGAGGAAGCCAGCATTGTCCAAAGATGCTTCTGTGGTCATGTGGCCAGCATGACTACATAGCAAGGTGCAGGAAACACTGTTACCACTGAAGTGGTACCTATTTATCTATTCACATTTGCATGTTTTTGACTGCAAGGTGGGTAGGAGCTGAGGCAAGCAACGGGAGCTCACCCGGTCGCACGCAGCACTCTGTCTTGAATTTGACCTGTCAGCTTTCCAGCCAACAAGCTCAGCATCTTCAAACAAAATACTTTTGCTTGGTTGTTTATCACTAGTTACTGTTTTGAGTTCTTGTAAGCACCTGCTTGGGTCATAGTAGCTAAGCTATCATGGAGATGCTTAGGTTTTGGCTTGGTGTTGAACTCAACCACTGTAGTTGGTAAACTTTGATAGCAGGGATAGTAGAGTTTCTCAGATGGATATTCAAAACCGATAGACACCTTTGCAAAGTCACCCCCCAAAATATCATTTTTAATTAGGAGGAGATTATGAAACCCATGGAATATATCTATGATGATTTATTAATTTAATTTTGAATTTGCTGTGAAAGGAGATGAAGTCCAATCAACATTAATGTTTCTTCTCCTAGTCCATCCATGTCTTTCTCTTGGTGTGCCTTAGTGCGCTAACTCACCAAAAGAACATGGTTCTCCATTTGAAAACTTTGAACTAGTCTAGGTTATGGCTTTCATGTGCTGTGTGGAACCAGCCAATTTTATTTCGTTCAACAAACCGTGCTTAAACCAAGTAGGGCTTTATAAAACACTAGTTAATAACACAGCATTGCCCAGGTATTTTTTTAATCCTAATCCTGTATTAGACAGGAAAAGCCCTGATTTCGGCGACAATTAAATTAGTTCCAAATGTTTTCCCTGTGCCCCCAGAAGCTTCAAGAAAAGTGACCCTCACCTTAATTTCTAATGTTGGATTTCCCCACTTGTCAGAGGGAGCCCCCTTGTGGAGTACTGTGAAGCTGTTACCGTGGCGACGCCACTGTGCTGCACAGTAGAAGCCATTTTATGGCAGAACGGTAGAATTGAAAGGCACAACAGGCTGTATCTTAGCAGAACACACAACCCAAGGGGTATTAGGGGTGTCTTATCCCCACAGAATTTGTTTCCAGAAAGGAAGTCATCTGTGTACCAAGTTTGGTTGAAATTGCTCGAGGCGTTCCAGAGTTATGCTGGAATATAGATACACACACACAGCTGTTTTTATATATATGTAGATAGAAGATATATATAACTCTTGTTAAATGAAAGTTAGATTGCTCACAAGGCTGGTTTGTGGAACGCTTTAGCCCGCAAATGGCTTTTTAAGCAGTTCCCATCCTTTGCCTTTCATTCACTGAATGCATCAAGACAAAATTGGCATCCTACAACTTCAAGAAACAAGTCTTGAATTTCACTGCAGGTTCTTGAGGGAGTCTTAGTGATCTTGCTGTATTGATGATAGACCTCTTCCAAAGCAAATCAATGTCGTTTTTCTTTCGTTAATAACAGAGAAGTGGTTTGATAATGTTTTCTTCCGAGAGGTTATTGATTTAGAGGATTTCAATGCTGTCAACTCAGGGGCTTCCCAATTTAGCCTGCAGGCTAACCCCCTGGTGGTCTCCCATTCAGGTCTGAACCAGAGCTAATGCTGCTTAGCTTCCAAGCCAAGCCGGAAGACAGGAAGTCCCTGGAAAGGAGAGATGCTCCTTGATGCTCCTTACCTCTTGGGAGGATCTGAGCTGAACAGCTGTTTACGGGATCAAAAGCCTCTTTATGTGTGTCATGTAACAGATCTGCTTTTATTGTCACAACATTGACAATGTTTCCGTTTGAAGGTATTGGCTTTTCAAAAGCCATCCTAGTTTCTACAGATGATCTCGCAGTCTGCATCACGGCCGTCTCTTCCTCAAAAGAAGGAAATCAGACGCTATTGAGAGGCATCGACCTCCTTGTGTTTAGTTATTTGTACTTGAGAGACCGCCTACTGCCAATTACCTCCAATAGACCGATTAGATCCCACAGATTAGGCCTCCTCCGAATTCCATCCACTGGCCAATGCTGACTGGCGACCACCCGGAGGAGGGCCTTCTCTGTGGCTGCTCCCGCCCTTTGGAACGAACTCCCTGTGGAGATTCGGACCCTCACTAACCTCCAGGCCTTCCGCAAAGCCCTTAAAACCTGGCTGTTCTGACAGGCCTGGGGCTAATGCATTTTTGTCCCCCC